CCCCTCCTTCATTTTAATCCTTTACCACAACAATTTTTCGACCCAAATTCAAGCCAGTAAGATTTCATTGCATGTTCGTGACCTAGCCGAGTCGGACCAGTCTGTATCATATTTTAATAGTTTCCGGTCCGGACCGCCTTTACGCTGTATTATTATGGGATAGATATATGGCGGTTCAGTAAAATTTACACTTTTCACTGACTGAAATTTTAGATACAGACAAAACCGGGACTTAGCTACTCGCGTGGACATTACTTCGCACTTCGAGCTGAGAAAAGTAGAATTATTTTGTTACTTTTATTAGTTCTAGTTCATTACTTGTTCTTCAACTATTCCAGTCACTTCGACTAGAACTGGCAACTTTCTTAGATCCACTGGCCAGCGCTGCATTGTCTGCTAATCAGCCTGCTGCTGGTAATCTTGGGGTTCTTTTTCGGAGAGATTGCAAGCTCAGAAGTTTCGGCGACAGAAGCACTTGACAAGGCTTTAGCCGTTTCAAGATATCGCTGATGAGATTAGACACCATCAACCAACTGGAATTTTGGCGCTTCTGAGCACAATGAGAAAACTCAAAACACAATAATAACAGTGAACAATGAAGATCATAATGAATTCCTGGAGCACGATGAATTTCTCCTAGCTTATCGACTATGAGAAATTCATTATGGAAAGTTAAAAAATTTCAAAAAATTTTCGCTTGCCTGCTCAAAAGCTCTCGTTCAGATGTAAAATCATTTATTCGTAATCTCTTGCAAACAGCTACTTTCTGGGCTTCAGAAATTTGCTCTCTTTCAAATACGCAATAATTTTTTGAATTTTTTATGAGCATCCGCTTTTGTCTTCAGTAACATTTCTAAGCCAGACGACCGAGTTGAATTCTTCATGGCAACTGACTTTCTAACTTTCCTTTTTTACAGAGCTCACACGGCAAAACCTTTTGGTTCTTTTATTTTGTAGGCCTCTATGCTGACCTTGAAAACTGTGAAATGTTTTTCTTAAAACATGAAATTTTTTAACAGATCTGAAGGAAGAATTCATATCATATTTTTACGAACATTATTTGTTGCAAAAAGACTGTTTATTAACAAAAGAATACACAGATCAAACCGATATGTATAAGCCATGGAAAGATATCAGTGGTGATTCATGTAATAGATAAGAAAATATAGCTGCAGCTGGATCTCATCAGTGCGACGGTTATGGTATTGATAAATTAAGAGCACTATGAAAGTATATAAATTGAAAGTATATAAATAGCTGGGAAAAAAGCAATAAATATGAAAGTATATAAATTAGTAGTAGTTGAAAAAAAAATGTATAGTAAATAAAATTTGAATGCACGTATAAGAAAGTACTGCGAACATAAATGGGTGTAAAGAGCGAATGTCTTGAACAATAATCTTGAGGGATATCTTTAATTTTAAATTAAATAAAACATAAAAAATAACTGGAAGTGAAGTAAAGAAAAATTGCAGTAATCGGCCAGAAAACATGCGCATGAGCGGAAGTGCATTAGAAAAAAGCACTCACTGTAGTGAAATTCAACTGTACAAGTATTTGAGTGACAAAATTAATTAAAGTCAAAATTACTTAGGACACGCGATAAAAATAACCGGCATAAAGTGTAAATAGCTTGAAAATAAATTTTTATTAAAAAATCGAGAAAATAATGCTTTGCGTGAAGAAAAGATTGTATTGTCACAGTACTTTCTTGTCAACTATTTGTTCACCCCATCCGCCTTCCTCCTTTTTCTTCCTGCTTCCTTTCTCTCCCAACTCTTGCCAAACAGCTCTACAGAATACTATTTCGATACAGCACTGCTCCGAATTAAGACTCAAATCTCTATCTGCTTTTTTCGACAGGCGAAGAGCTTTAACACATAAGTTTTAGGGCTTATTTTTGATGTGTAGAGAGCAAAGTTATGCGTAGGTTATCTTGTTTTTATGATGGTTATAGTACACTGGAGACAGTAGCGTTTTCGCCTTTATGCAAAACTGTGATAAAAATTCTTATGCCACTACTTACCTTCATTTTTCTTTGAGAGAAAAAAGGTTTAATAACTCAAATTTGAGGAGAGGAACCGAACATCAGAATTGTGGATAATCTGACCACCGGTCGATGTAGCATTGGCCAAACTAGAAAAGTTATAAACTTGACTTATTTCAGCAGGCAGATAGCGTAACCTGGCAACGACAAGCCATCATCGTATTGAAGCAAAGACGTAATGCTCCGCAGCCTTTTCCC